AATTTAAATTTGACTTTTAAATGTATTTTATAAGTAAACTAGGCTATAGTAGGGTTCGATTGGCTCCACCCTTTTTTTTTAATTATTAAATATAATAATATTGATTTATAATTAAAATTAATTTTTAATTAAAATTACAAAAAATAATAGGATGTCTTAGTATTAAAATACCATGATATCTAATCACGATCATATGATAATAAAATATAATTAATGTAGATTTCACTTAAATCTTATTCATTATGTGATTGAGATTAGATATTTTAATATTACAAATATTAAAACATTTTAATTTTTAATTTTTTGTTTTTAATTAATAAATATAAAAGTTATTTCAAACATATATTAATTTATTATAAATAATATTTAACTTAACATCAATTAATATTTTTAAAAATAAACACTATAAAAACAGTTGATTAAATCGTCATTAATTTCTTCTATCTTCACATCCATAACTAAAACTATTAGCGTTATATCCTAAATCAAGTCCCGTAAGAATCAGGACACGTGTAGACATTCTATAGATAATCCTATCAAAGTTGAATAGGATAAATCCCACTAGAATAAAAATACCGTAAACACTAATTAAATAAAATTGTATTCCTAGAATAACTATATTAAACATCCTATAAATACTTCTAAGATCAACCTAAGGAGGTAGATTATTTTTCCATCTCCATTCTCTCTTCATTGTAAACTCTCTCTATTAATAAAGATCTCAGTTCCACACCATTTATTCTATTTTTTAGTGTTAACATGCGCCCACCGTGGGGCTTGGCACTTTTCAGTCCACGAATACCACATGGAAAATTCAAAAAATTCATCACGACCTTGTAGAAGTATTCCGAGCTCCAGAAGTGAAGACTAAATGAGTGACTCTTCGTCATCAGGAACAAACCCAAGAAATACTGTTAATAAAACAAAACCATCAAATTCAACCATGGCATCACAAATACAGAAACTTACACAAGACATGGAGGAGACGAGGCAAAGTTTAAAAGCAATTAAGCGAGCCACAGCATCCATGACAAAAACTGTTACCACCTCATCGCAAGAAGTAAGGTGTGAGCGCTTGTCACAAAGCGATGCTAGGACATTAGAGGGGAAGGAGCAAGATTCAACACAGGAAAACAACAATCAAGATGAAAGTTACGTACCTTCAAAACCAATAGAATTGATGATCAAAACGAGTATGCAACCATCCTCAACTTTCACTCAATACAATTTTCGAAGCAAAAATGTGATACCTCGCACACATTCAAGCCAAAGAAGGGATAGCCAGCAAGTCCATAAGGCTACATTTGCCATAACAGAGCCATAAAAGGTAGAAACACAGGTTCATGATGACGGTATTTACAAAGAAATTGAAGCATTGCAACAACATCTGGCAAAAATAGAAGCAGGCAGGCAGAGGTACGCAGAACTAGCATACACAGCTTCAGTAGAAAAAGCCTTTATAGACAAAATCATCAGGGAACCTATGCCATCAAATTTCAAAACTCCGCAACTAGCTGAATACGATGGAACTCAACACCTAGTGGAGCATGTGCAAGGATATAGAATGGCAATGATGGTATATGGAGCCTCGAATGCTCTATTATGCAAGCAATTTCCAGCAACTTTTAGGAAAGCTGTGCAGGCTTGAGCTCCTCAAAAGACCAACCATCATCTCTTAACAATCAAACAGAAGACAAGAGAGTCACTAAGAGCCTACATAGCAAGATTCCATAATGAAGCTGTGCAGGAACAAATTAACAACTTACCAGATAAGTTTCATATCTTTTTACAATATTTAAATAATTATTTTCATAAATTTATCAATTATGATCTTGAAAGCACTAATAATTTTCTCATGTCTCTAAAGTAATTAAGATAGCAAAATCTATATAGCTTATTTCTACTCTGAACCTATGCGGGAGAAAATCTTAAGATGATATAATATGCAAGCAAAAGCTGTGAGCAAGTTTGGGTGTACATAAATATCCAAGCAAAAGTTACACAAGCAAAAAGCTGTAAGCAAATTTGGGTGTACATTAAATACCCAAGCAGAAATTACACAAGCAAAAGTTGTGAGCAAGTTTGGGTGTACATTAAATACCCAAGCAGAAGTTACACAAGCAAAATGCCATGAGCCAGTTTGGGTGTACATTAAATACCCAAACAAAAGTTACACAAGCAAAAGCTGTGAGCAAGTTTGGGTGTACATTAAATGCCCAAGCAGAAGTTACACAAGCAAAAGCTGTGAGCAAGTTTGGGTGTACATTAAATGCCCAAGCAAAAGTTACACAAGCAAAAAGTTGTGAGCAAGTTTAGGTGTACATAAATACCTAAGCAGAAGTTACGCAAGTAAAAAGCGACGAGCAAGTTTTTGGTGTACCTTGACAAAAGCTATGCAAGATGTGCTACAGAGGTTAATGCGAATTTTAGAATATAAGGAAACATCTCACAATGAAGGCAACAATATAAGCAACAACACGAGGAGCCAATTGGGAAAGGCTAATAGAGAATTCATCACAAATTTCAAGAAAAAGAGGATACAAAGGAAAATGCAACCCATATGCAAATTGATCCTTGTAGACACACATTAGGAGGAAGGCATAGAAACGTTGCGCGGTGCACGAGATGTTAAGGAGGAAAAACCTACAAATCTATCAAGTTCTTTTTATAAATCTCCCTAATCTCATCCACATCACAACTACTAGTAACCCAAGACACCTTATCGAGATCACAGAACACCTTTGCTGAGCCTAGAGGGAGAGCAACTTTTCCACCCTTTGAAGAAGAAACCAAAGGAACCTCTATAGGGATAAAAGGAATCACAAGATCCCTCTCCACATGGCGTGAAGCATCTTTCACAACAAACTTCCCATCTGCATTACAGGGAAGGCAGAAAACATCAAAAAACTCAGACAAAGAAGAAGAAGGTGGAGTACCCACACCATCAGTAGAAGTCAAAATCGGCAAAAAACCAGAAGTAGAAGGATCAGTAGACATAGCAGGCACAACCGACGCAACACGAAGTTGGAAAGGGTCTACTTGCAGGAAGAAGAAACCAAAAAAGCAACCAACCCAGCACAGAATCAAAAAGGTCTATCTGCAGAAAGAGGGGCAAAAGGTACCCGTTTACCCTTTAACTTTTCGAATTTGAGGCGTTTTACCCTTCATATTACAATATATGAATTTTTATCCTTTTTATTTTCGAGTTTAAGGAAATAAGACAAAATTTAACGTCAAAAGGTCACGTGCAACACATGCATCGTTACCTTCGTTATACATTTACATGTTAGTGCCATATCATCAATAATTTTAACTCGTGGATCCTATTTGTTGACTTATAATAATGACATGGAAAAAAAATATGACAAAAAAATAAAAAATTCTTTCCTTTTTTTTTTCCTTCCTTTTCCCTTTCTCCCTTTGGAACCCAATAGCATCGAACCCAGCAAGCCTTGGAATCCAAGCGCTGGGTTCGATGGAACCCAGGCGTGGGTTCCTTTGAACCCAGCATGCTTGGGTTCCAAGGAACCCAAGCGCAGGTTCTTTGGAACTCGACGCCTGGGTTCTTTGATGGAACCCAGGCGTGGGTTCCATTGAACCCAACAGGCGCTGGGTTCTTTGGAACCCAAGTGCTGGGCTCGATGGAACCCAGGCGTGGGTTCCTTCGAACCAGCACGCTTGGGTTCCTTAGAACCCAAGCGCAGGTTCTTTGGAACCCAACGCCTGGGTTCTTTGATGGAACCCAAGCGTGGGTTCCGTCGAACCCAGCACGCCTGGATTCGATGGAACCCAGGCGCGGGTTCTTCTGTCTCTCTCTTCTGAGCAACTTTTTCCAATTCTTCAGCTTCCATTCGTATCAAATTTTGTTTGCTTTTGTTTTCTTTTTTTTTTTTTTTCCAAAGAGTGTAAGATCCTTTCTCAATTCTTCCATTTTTTTCTATTTTTATTTTTTTTCTAAACAATTAGATTGATTTTGGTTTTTTGTTTTTGGCTGCAGAATCTAAGACAAGAAGCTGTAGGGATTCAGGACCCCTTTTGGATAAGAATATTGTTTGGAACTGATTATATTCCAATCAGTAAGGAACCTTCCTTCTTTTATTTTTTTTTCTTTCTGTTATGATCCTTCGAATGTAATGGTGTTTTCATATTTTTATGTTGAATTTAAATTTGTTCATTGTTTTTTATGGTTCGTTGATCCTGTTATTTGCTTCCTTTTTTTGTTTCGTTTAAATGAATGCCACTGTGATTTAGTGCAGAGAAGACAATGAAAAATGTTAGATTGAGTTTAGGTATCATTGACGATTAAAGGTCTTCAATTTGGAGGCTGGAGATGTCTACCCAACAAGACAATCCTGATTCCAGCAATTTTTCAGGTGGTATGGCAGGAATTTCTTATATATGCTAGATAGGAAAACTAAAATTTTTAGTGCCATGTTTGTTAATCTAATATTTGTTTTTGTGGGTTTTGTTGTTTGATGATAATGAAGAACCCAGCAAGGGCAAAGGTTGGTTGAGATGTTAGGGTTTGCAAAGGTTGAAGAAAGCGAGGAGGAAAG